ATGCCTTGGTAAGCCTCAATACTTCACCACGCTCTTAAAGAATAGCTTGGGCTTCCTTGGCAGTGCAACCTGGTGAGGCGGGCATGAAGGTGGCATATTTTGAAAATCTATCCACGACCATTATAATAGTACTATAACCGTCGGACTTCGGTAGGTAAGTGACAAAGTCCATCCTCACGCTTTCCTATGGACGCTCTACAACTGGTAGTGGCTCAAAAAGTCCTCCGGGTTGTTGTTGCTCAACCTTTTCCTATTGACAGACAAGATAAGTCTGCACATAACACTCTATGTCATCTCGCATGCATGGCCACTAGTAGACTGACTCAACCAAGGACCTAGTGTGATGTTGGCCTGGATGACCAGCCCACATTGTGTAATGACTCTCCCTGATTGGCTAACTCGATAAGTTGTTTGGCTGTTGATCATGCTGCACGCCTTCTTTTATAGCCTCACGAATGTCCCGACTTGCTGAAGTGATTGCAGCAAGCTCGGCTTTCCGGCTCAATGCATCGGCTACAACGTTACCTTTGCCCAGCTTATACTCCAGCATATAATCAAACTCAGCAAAAGAAATCCTGCCACTTAGCCTGTTTTTGTGTGAGCTTTTTCTGCGTCTGAAACGTGCTCGTAGCCACATAGTCGGTCTTGACCACGAACCTCGACCCCAACAAACAATGTCGCCATGTACGAAGGCAATGCACAATGGCAGTCATCTCCTTCTTTTGAACCGTGTAATGCCGCTCCATCTTATTTAACTTGCAGCTCTCCACAGCTATGGGATGCTTATCCTGCATCAGGACAACCCCAATGGAAAAGTCTGAGGCATCTGTACGAACCTCAAATGTCATGGTAAAGTCAGGTAAAGCTAAGACCAGCTCCCCCATTATAGCTGCCTTAAGGCCTTCAAATGCCTTTTGACAATGCTCCATCCAAATCCATGGCATGTCCTTCTATAGCAACTCAGCAATGGTGCGGCCTTTGCTGAGTAGCCACTGATGAACCGACGATAGTAGTTAACAAGGCCAAGGAAAGATCCCAACTCAGTTACCTTTATAGGTGCCTCCAGCTCCTGGATAGCACGTACCTTAGCCTCGTCCATCCGTAGCTCGCCATTGCTAATGACGTGGCATAAGAAGTGCACCTTTGATTGTGCAAACTCGCATTTCTCTCTCTTGATGTATAGCTCGTTCTCCTACAAGACTTAGAAAACCTTCCTTAAGTGATCCATGTGCTCCTCCAAGGTGTTTTTGTAGATGACTATGTCGTCTAGGTAGACCACCACGGACTGATCAAGATAGGGATGGAAAATCTTTTTCATAAAGGTGCAAAATGTGGCCGGTGCATTGATTAAGCCGAAAGGCATCACCAAACATTCAAAGGCTCCATATCTCGTCACACATTCTGCCTTCGGCTTATCCCTTTCTGCAATGCGAACCTGGTAGTAGCCCTTGCGAAGATCCACCTTGGTAAAGTACTTGCCTTTCCCAAGTCTATCGAACAAGTCATTAATGTGCAGGATCGGGAACTTATTCTTCATTGTGACCTTATTAAGTGCTGGATAGTCTATGCATAAGCGCAACGATCCATCCTTCTTCTTCTGGAACAATACTGGTGCGTCGAAAGGTGCCTTTGATGGGCGAATGTGACCAGCATCCAGCAACCCTTTCAATTGTTTCCTAAGCTCCTCTAAC